GCTCTTGAGAGGTTACATACTTCAATTGCACCTCATTCTTTGCAACGCTCTCTCTTATAAAGTGATACCTTGTATCGATATGCTTGCTTCTATCGTGAAATACTAGATTCTTTGCCAATGCCAATGCTGATTTGTTGTCAACATAGATCTCAGTCGGTTCATCTTGTAAGACTCCAAGTGTCTTCAACAAGTTTCTAAGCCAAATTGCATGGCAAACACTTGATGTAACTTCAACATATTCAGCTTCACATGTAGATAGCGCCACGATCGATTGCTTCTTCGAGCTCCAAGTGAATGCAGTGTTGCCCAAGTAGAATACATATCCAGTAGTGCTCTTTCTATCGTCAATGTCTCCGCCCCAATCACTATCACTATAGCCAACAAGTTTGAATTCATTAGATGATGAATAGATTGAACCATAGTCAAGCGTACCTCTGATGTAGCGAAGAATCCTCTTTGCAGCTTTCATATGGGTCATGGTGGGTATCTCCATATAGCGACTGATTAGCCCTACTCCAAAGAGGATATCTGGTCTTGTGCATGTCAAATATCTTAGACTTCCGACAAGACTCTTAAAGAGTGTTGGATCCACTTTTTCACATTCATCATACTTCGATAACTTGGTTCCACATTCGACGGGGGTGCATACAGGCTTGCAATCCGCCATGTTGAATTTCTTTAGAACTTCTTTCGCGTACCCTTCTTGTGAGATAAAGATGCCATCCTCCATTTGCCTTACCTCAATCCCAAGATAGTAGGCCATAAGACCGATATCTGTCATCTCGAATTCTTGAGCCATGGCCTTCTTAAACTCAGTGATCATGCTTAGATTATTTCCTGTGAATATAAGATCATCCACATACAAACAAACAAGCAAGATATCTCCTTTCTCATTTACTTTTGTGTAAAGGGCATACTCGTGAGGGCATTTTGTGAAGTCATTTTCTAGAAAATACTTGTCAATTCTACTATTCCATGCCCTTGGAGCTTGTTTCAACCCATATAAAGCCTTTTTGAGTTTTAAGACTTTACCTTCATGCCCTTTTATTTTATATCCCATTGGTTGCTCCACATAAACTTCTTCTTCAAGATAACCATTTAGAAAAGCTGATTTCACATCCATTTGAAAAATCTTCCACTTGTTTTGCGCGGCAAGAGAGATAATTAATCTTATGGTTTCTAAGCGAGCAACAGGGGCAAATACCTCCTCAAAATCGATCCCCGACTGTTGGTTGTAGCCTTTGGCAACCAATCTTGCTTTGTATCTCTCCACTTCTCCTTTAGCATTCTTCTTTATCTTGTACACCCACTTGACTCCGATTGCTCTTTTTCCTTTGGGAAGAGTCGTCAGCTCCCATGTATCGTTTTTCTCAATAGCTTTAATCTCTTCATCCATGGCATATCTCCATCTTTTATTTTGCGCTGCTTCTTCATACCCTATTGGCTCACAATCGGCAAAAAGACAAAAAAGTGTGAGATTATTTTGATTCTCTGTTACCTCATATAGCTCTTGTAGGCTCCTCATCCGTGGTGTCCTTTCGCTTGAGCTTTCTCCTTGTGAAGATACTGGTGAAGCATCTCCATGAGCAGGTGATAGAGGTGGACTGGTAGGCTCTTGCTGCTCTTCATTCTCTTGTTCTTCTTCCTCAAAGAATGGCAAGAAGTCGTAGTCTTCTTCTTGGACACCCCAATCCCAATCTCCTTCTTCATTGAACTCGACGTCTCTACTTATGATAATCTTCTCCTTGCTTGGATTATACAGTTTGTAGCCTTTGGAGCGAGAGTCATAGCCGATAAAGACATACCTTTCACTCTTATCATCTAGCTTGGACCGCTTTTGATCCGGCACATGAGCATATGCAATGCTCCCAAATACTCGTAGGTGAGAGATACTGGGCTTCCTTCCACTCCATGCTTCTTGTGGTGTCTTATTCCACACACTTCTAGAAGGAGATCGATTAGATAGGTATACAGCGCAATTAACAGCTTCGGCCCAAAGTTCTTTGGGCAATCTCTTGCTTTTGAGCATGCAGCGGGCCATGTTAAGAATTGATCTATTCTTTCTTTCGGCTACTCCATTTTGTTGTGGAGAGTATGAAACCGTTAATGGGCGACGAATTCCATTTTCTTCACAATATTTCTCAAACACTTTGGAGGTAAATTCTCCTCCTCTATCCGATCTCATGGCTTTTATGCTATAGCCACTTTCCTTTTCAACGAGAGCTTTAAACTTCTGGAAAGTTCTAAAAACTTCCGATTTCTGTTTGAGAAAATAGACCCAAGTCTTTCTACTAAAATCATCAATGAAGAGAACAAAGTAATTGTTCTTACCGAGAGAGCTTGGATTGATTGGCCCACAAACATCTGCGTGTACAAGTTCTAGCGGCTTCTTAGCTCTTGTAGATGCTTCTTTTGGAAAACTTTTCCTCGAATGCTTCCCAAGTAAGCATCCTTCACATAATTGATCCGGATGATTTATTGGAGGCAAACCTTTTACCATCTTCTTCTTACTTAACAACTTTAAGCCCCCAAAATTAAGATGCCCAAATCTTAAGTGCCAAAGCCAAGATGAATCTTTAAAACAAGCTTTTAAGCATTTAGCAACATCATTTTGAATTCTTAATGCAAACATTCTATTTCTTGTCATAGGGACTTTAGCAATCAGATTTTTTCTTTGATCTCTTATTGAAAGACTATGATCTTTCAAATAAATATCATAGCCCTTCTCTAAGAGTTGTCCCAAGCTCAGAATATTATTCTTCATATTGGGCACATAGTAGACATTTGAGATAAATTGATGCATACCATTCTTCAAGCGAATCAAGATTTTACCTTTGCCTTTCACGGGGATCTTCGATTCATCTCCAAAAGTAATATTGCCGCTTACCGATTCATCGAGCTCCACGAACATGTTTCTTCTTCCGCACATATGGTTGCTTGCTCCCGTATCCAAGTACCAAGTGTTTATTTCCTTGCTTTCTTCACCTTTGTATGCCATCAATAGTGTAGGATCCACTTCATTTTCTTGACTAGCATAGTTGGCTTTCTCCTTGACTTGGTTATTACCATTTCTACATTCTAAAGCATAATGGCCAAATTTTTGACAATTGTAACATTTAACTTGAGATTTGTCATACCTTGGCCTTTCATTTTGCCTCGTACCTTTTCCTCTTCCATAACCTCTAGTGGAAAACGAGCTTAGGCTTCTTTCCTCCTTGTAGAATGCACTTCTTCCTTGATTTTGGCCCCGTCCTCTTCCTCTTTGGCTTCTCCTACTGCTGAACTTTCCTTCACCCTTGTTCAAAGTGAGGTTTGTTTGAAGAGCTTGCTCTAATGGCTCTTCTTTCACCTTCTTCTTTAGTCTTTCCTCATGGGCTTGTAAAGATCCCATGAGTTGATCGACACTCATACTATCTAGATCTTTAGATTCCTCAATGGCTACAACTATGTAGTCAAATTTAGAATCTAAAGACCTAAGTATCTTCTCAATTACTCTAGTGTCACTCAACTTTTCTCCATTCCTCTTTAATTGGTTCACAATGGCCAATACTCTTGAAAAGTAATCAGATATTGATTCCGATTCTTTCATATGTAAAGCTTCAAACTCACCTCGAAGTGTTTGGAGTCGAACCTTTTTCACCTTCTCAACTCCTTTGTGGGAGTTTTGCAAGATCTCCCATGCTTCCTTGCTCGTAGTAGCACAAGCTACTTTCTCGAACATGCCTTCATCTAAGGCTTGATAGATGAGGGTGAGCGCCTTATTGTCCTTCTTCCTTGCATCCTTCAAACTATCCCTTTGTGCTTGGGATAGAGTGACCTCGTCATGTGGCTCCGTGTAGCCTTTCTCTACGATCTCCCATGCATCTTGCGACCCGAGCAATGTCTTCATCCTTATGCTCCAATTGTCGTAGTTATCCTTGTTAAGTTGAGGGACTTGAAAAGGAATCATCCCACTTGCCATTTTTCACAAGGACCTTAGGGCTCTGATACCAGTTTGTTGGAGGAAAGAGGGGTTTACCAACTCAATTTGGCTAAAACTTGATAGGAAGGACAATACTAATAGGAAGAGGTAAATAAAATGTAACTTATATTTCTCAACTTCAACACTTACAACACTTGACTTGACTTGTTGTTACAAAATGGAGGGACTCTACCCCTTTATATAGGGCTTACATGAGACTTCTAGACCACACATTAATCTAGAGAATTCTAGTCCATAAATTTTCATGAGGCTTCTAGATTTCATATTTGGACTAGATATTTTCCTAGAGTATTCTAGGTACAATGCATATTTATCTATTACTTAGATTTTTACATGGGTCTTTCTAGAATATAATTCTAGAAAATGCTAGACTTTGTTGGGCCTTTGAATTGGGCCTATGAGCAAAATTCTTAAACTCATATTACTTACTCCAAAATCAAGTTTACTTTCCAACACCGATTTATTTAGACCGACTTTTCTTATTTTCTTATCCCAAATTATAGCTTTCTTAATTGAGAGTGTATTTGTTTTGTTTGCTTACTAATATATAACTTGTTTAGTTATAACTAATTTTCTCCATTTAATCTTGAAATTGTACTGATTTTAATTTTATCTACTCCTTGGAATCATCCAAATACATACACAGTTCTAGGAGGGAAAAACAGTTTTAAGTGGTTCATAGTATTTCCCACTATTATTTTTAAATACTATTACTAGTTGTTGATAATTAAATAATGGTAAATTGGAAAAATTCTTTGCAAAAATTGTTTTTTCAATAACATTAAATAAAATTTATTAATTCGGGTGAAAAACAAAATTAAAAATGGGACAAAATATAAAGAAGTAGGAGAGAAATTATTACTTTTCACATGTACAATCAAATAAAACTGGAATCTATTTATAGATTCTTGTTACATCCTTTCCCATATGTTATAATCATTCGTAGATGTCTTTTTGCTTGGAATTATATCAAACAAAACTTCGTATTACAATCACGAAAATAAATTAAAGAACGAACATGTGCCGTAGGAGCCTTTTGGCAGCGCGGATGCGCTACCCAGCTGTGCATCTGCACTGCCAAGTGAAATGCTGCCCAGATGGCAATGCATCTGCACCACACTGGCAGCGCAGATGTGCTTCCGTGCAGTAAGGTCCAAACTTTTTTTTTTTAATGCTCAAGTGTCCAATCTTCGCCTGACTAATTTTGAGGAGTTGCGGCCTTTCTCCTGGTTGGCCACCCGGGTTAATCTGGATGCGGTTACAGTTTATACACACTTGGACCAGATATTCGGCGGTTCTTCTCACTGTGGATCTCTGCCTTCCAACATAGATGTTGTCTTCCAACATAAATGTTGTCTTCCAGCTGCCGCGGGGATTCAAACCCTCGATACTCAGAAAACCCTCGTGTCTTTTCATGCCCTTGGGGCCAATGTACATGTTGTAGATGAGATATTCATTTGAAAAAGTCTCCAACATGTTGAAAGCCTTTAAAAGAAAGCAGTTCATCAATTTTTTGGTCACACAGAATCAATTCTGTCCATGTCAAGAAAGAGTAATTGGTATAAACAAAATAAGTAATGGAATTATATATTTACATATAAATATGAATCAGATTCCATGGCTCAAGAATTTGACTGAATCTTAACAAAATTAAGTGTGGAAATGCTGAGCCAACAAAAAACTAGGATTTCTAGTTACTAGTTGGATACACATCCATTACAGAACAAGCAAACGTGCACCGATGCAGTTCATTCATTTTAGACTGTACTAATAATATTATAATTAAGATTAGAACATATTGGGAGTGTTAAAGCTTGGAGAGTATTGAGAAGGTGGGGACCACATCCACCATTTAGACCAAACCTTTATAGGGTTTCAGTTTTCAAAAGTCATTTCATTCCCCAAAACCGGCTTATAATTTGAAATATGGTGGATTCATCAATCAGATTGTTTTCTTCTTTACCTCTT